ATATATATATATGTATATATATATATATATATGTATATATATGTGTAGAACATTGTTTCACCTAAATATAGAGAATGTTTCAGTAAAATGTTAAGGACTACCGAGTGAAAATTGGCCCACTGCTACAGCATATCAACAATACAGCATTGTTTTTGCCAGTGGTGGAAAGTACATTTACTGAGGTATTGTATACTGTAAGTGTAATTTTGAGGTACTTGTACTTTGCTTGAATATTTCCATTTTTATGATACTTTGCACTGCTCTACATTACATCATTAGTTGATTTGATTGAAATAATTAATACAAAATATGATCAGCTCATAAATGATGATGTTTTAGTGTAGATTAAACTACACACCAAGATATAAAGAAGTTACCTTCAGCGGCAACACATGATTCTGAATTGGGCCCTTCTGCAGTACTTTTACTTGGTATATATAGTATATTTTGATGCTAATACTTTTACTTATGCCTTCAGGACTTCTACTTTGCTACTGTTACTTATGCAAAAGCTCGGACTTCTCCTCCTGCTTCTGTCTTTTTGCTCCACATGTTTTTCTCCTGTGTCAAACCTTCACAATGCTCATGTTGTTGTTGAGTCAAGCAGCTGACAACAACGAAGCACTTTGACATAAAAACCAACATATAATGTCGACCCCTCTGAGCCCCTGTTGAGCCCCTGCAGTTTAATTTCATCCCCCCGTCCTTGACACAGTGTCCGGGTATCCAGGGGAGTCGTGTTGGCTGCGAGAGGCTCGCAGGCGGCAGCACCTGGTGCGTCTGAACTGGAAACCTGATCATCGGCAGGTACAAGAATAGCTCGACGGGACTGTAAAGGCCACTCACCTGACCTGCAGTGAACTGTCATTGAACTTATCTCCCCTCTGAGGACAAAACCCTGCTTAGTGTTTGTATCTTTTTAAGGCTCGTGGTTTCCTGAACCCACTGCTCCGAAGCTCTTGAGATCTTGTAAATCATCAGAGATACGGTATGTTTACAGTAATCACATATGCCCCACAGAGCCCTTGTTAATCCGATACATTTTACAAGATCAAAGGATTATAATCGGTAGAAACTACGTGAAACTTTTATTTGGCACAAAACAGGAAGAGGAAGAGGAATTATCTGAAGTGTTTGAACAAGTGAAACACAAAACATCCAGCATCTTTGGGACAAGAAGCTACATGGTGTGTGTGTGTGTGTGTGTGTGTGTGTGTGTGTGTGTGTGTGTGAGGAAATGTTACAGGAGATTCATCCCGGCAAACACAACATCTTTGCTTCTCTCACTGGCGTCTGGCACGATCATGGACTAAAAAAAAAAAAGGATATGTTTGCAGAATCATGCTTTATTTTAAAATCTGTGTAACTTAAATTGTACACGAGATCCGGCCACATCTGTTGCCTGCTCTCTGTCGTACACCAACACTTCTGTCCTTTCAGATCCTGCCACTCCCTCATGCACCGCATTATTCCCGTCACCTGATTCTCCCACCTGCACACCTGCACACCTGCTCAGCTGCTCACACATCTAATGTGCAGCCTTCACCTGCCTGTATGAACCCCTCCCTATGTTGGACTTCTGACCCCCATATCTTGCAAACAAAAACTGACTTACTTATTTATCCTTATTTCTTGTTTATTTGGATGCCTATTTTCACATTCAATACATTAAACTGAACAATTGACCAGCAGTATTTTCTCTGAATTATGTAACTGACCCCTTGGCCAGTTTGTAGTGATGGGAAGTAATTAAGTACATTTCCTCAAATACTGTCATTACGTAAAGTACACCGAAAACGTACTTTCTGCTGTTTCAGTATACCACATTTATTTGACTACAAGTTGTTCTGAAGAATAACTTAGTTTTTATCTGTCACAAGAGGGTCACTCCACATAATCTCTGCATTATGACTCACTTCACTTTTGATACTTTTAGTATATTCTTCTAGGAATACTTGTGCAAAACTTTTACCTCTAGTTGAGTATTTTTACACTGTGGTATTATTGTACTTTTGAGTGAACTAAAAAGGATCTGAATACTTCTTCTATCGCTGCAAATGTGTTTGTTGAAGTTCATTTCTAGGCTCAGGTTTCAGGTAAACAACTGGTGGTAAGTACAGTATGTACACAAGTACAGAAGCACTCATTTTGAGGTATTTATATTCGAGTAAGCCCCTATTTCTACTGCATTTCAGAGGTAAATATTGAATCTTCTATTTCACATTAACTCATAATAGTTAAAAAAAGGTCCATCTTGACCAAACACACCTTAAAATGCTTGCACATTAATGCATGACTCATAATAATGTAACTATATATCACAAAGTTTCTGCATTCATTTCCCCTTATAATCCTTATTTACTGAGGCAACACTGTCATTTCAGTACTTTACCTTCTAACATGGTATTTTTACAGTGTGTAATTGCAGCTTTTGGCTACTTAAGTAAATTATATGCTGACATACTAATGTCCCTTCAGCTCTACTCTCTAGACCAGGTTCTACTTTTCCACCTGTGGAGAACCACCTCGCTGTGATATTTCGGTTTTTTTGGGGGGAGTGAGGAGTAGAGACAGTGAGAGTCGCGGGACGACCCTGACAGAGCTGGAGGACCACCGCTTGGAAACGACTTTCAGCCATGTGCGGCCAGTAGGAGGGGCCATGTGCTGGAGGTGTTTGAGAAGGTGACGCCGTAAACGCGGCCAGTGTGTCGCAAACCAGGTGTTTTTTTTTTGCAAGGGAGGGGGGGTGAGGAAGGTGATGTCGTAAAGCGGACAGGAGAAGGGAGGGGTGAGGAAGAGGAGGGGGGGAGACAGGAGGAGGAGGGAGGAGGTGACTCGCGAGCGGCTGCGCTTCAGACTCAGCGAGAGGATCATGGCGGATGGCCCCAGGTGTAAGCGCAGAAAACAGGCGAACCCGAAGAGGAGCAGCGGTAAGTCCGAACTCCTCCGTAACCGCCGCCGGGCGAGCCGGGCGGGCTGCCGGCGAGCTTTTCACTCGGTGAACTCCTTCTGGATACTTTTTGGGAGTGAGTTGAACCACGTTTCGGGGAGTTTTAATGTGTTCATAGCCCAGTGTGGTGGTGTACCGTTATACCTGGCTGGCTTGTCTCTCTCCGCCTAGCGGTGCACGGTGCACGCCTCACAGAGTGAACCGTTATCCCGCAGTTACAATAACCCCAAAGGAGCGCTCGGTAGTTGTCCGTGTTATTAGTTTCCTTCACTTTGTTTCTCTACTTTTCTGCCACTTTTGCAACACTTGACGGGAGGTTGCGGGGCTTTTCACGCAACAACGTGGCCCGTTACTCGCAGTTTGTAGTTAAGTGTGTGGTTTCCTTTTTTCCTTTTCAGGGCGAGGTTGTTGCGAGGTTAGTTTCTTCGCTAACTTGCTGCTCACTCGGCCCACGGATCGTACCGTTTCTCCCTCCCCGTTCACAATAATTCAACTTTATCGGTTTGTGTCAGTGGCCGGATGGGCACTCGTGCTGTTGCGGTGGAAGCGTGTTTTTTTCCGCATGGGGTCTGGTCTGGTTCACTGCTGCTCCGGTGATGGCAAAGAGAGATGGGATGTTTATTTTATCTCCGTTTCACCCCTCCCCGCCACTACTGCAACACCACATGTTTTCCTAAGTTACGGTAAGAATGGATGTTGTATTTATTTTGGTCCTGCTGTAGATTGGTGCCTTCGTGCACGCGTTTCCTCCTCGCTTGCACCAGTTTAGCTCTATTAATAGAGCGTTTTCTGTTTTGTTGTTGATTGTCTTGCAAATTGCCTGTTCGACTGTTGCTCTTTGCACCTGTAAATTCGGGTTAGTGAACCGTTGGCAATGTTGAAAATACATGTTGTTTTTAGCTGCATCTTTGGCATTATTAATAAATATATATATATATATGTTTTTCTATATTATGCATTTGTTTGTTGTGTCGACATATTTACCAGATCTTTCTTAGTGGTATTTGTATTAGCTTTTGATATAGTTGTAATGATCCTCCTACAGGGCGTTTATAATATCATTTGAACCATGATCTCAGATTAGGTGTTTGTGGGCTGGAGCATCGTTTCACACGATACGAGTGTTTTTTAGTCCACTTGTTATGAAGTCGAGGATATAAAAACAGAATTCAGGTGAAGGCTGTTGTGATAGTTTTAAATGTACACAGCCCGAGCCTCTCATTGGACGGATCTTACCTGTGCTCTCCCCCTCTTACATCGTATCGGCCAATAAAAAAAAAGGTAACCCATATATTTATATATTTTTATTCACCGTTACGAGGCACAATGTGTGTGAGCCGAGGGGCTGGAAAGCACCTTTTTCTTCTTCTTCTCTCTCCTGGTGACGACACGACGGTGACTCTGTGCGTCCGTACAGGAGCCATCATCATCATCATCACCATCATCATCATCATGTTTACCTGAACGCGGATAACGGGGCTGACAAACGGCCTAGAAATAAACAGAAATAACACCTGCGGCTCTCCACCGTGGACGGAACAGGATCTGCTCTGCGTTTCCCTAAAGGCTCCGTGTCTCGTGAGGAGCCACAAAAAACCGCTCCAAATGTCAACTTGTGCAGGTAGAGATGATTTTTTTTTTTTTTGTAGTTGTGCCAGCTTCGCATGGATGCTCGCCTCCCTTCATTCTCGCGGGATTTATCTCATCGACACGCATTTTTCTGACCCACTTGTGCATGTTTTATCTTCCCTTTTATGTGTTTCTTTTGCGTGTGTGGATTGGTCGCCTTATTTTGGGGGGGGGGGGGTCTCGTGCAGCTGTGTGCGAGACTGCACGTAAACCGAGCGGTGCATAAGGTGGTTTATTCCTCCGTTATCTCCCCCCCCACCCACCCCCACCGTGTGCGGTAACGGCGCGCATGGAGCTCACCGTTAAACCTCTCGTTTCCATCTATTGTGTTGCGGTAATTCGTTATACAATATCCTGCGCGGTGTGCAGGGAGGGAATGGCGGTCAGTACCATTACTGCAGTGAAGGCGGGGTTGTTGCTTTCTTTTTTTTTTTTTTTTTCTCCGGACCGGGAGACAGCCAGGTACGCAAGGTGATGCAACACCTATAAAGGTGTATTTTCACCGTGATATATCCCTGCAGTGTGAGGCTCAAACACCGGATGGGGGGGACTCCAGAGTGACTCGTTGGGTTTCATTTTCCAAACATAGAACGAATAATGAGATCAGAATGGTAAAAAGGAGCGCGTCCGCGTGACGGGGCGCACAATCAAGATGGCAAATAAAGGTGCTGTGATTCAGTGCGCACCGCTTTCATCTGCGCATCCTGCTCGTCTCCTTTTTCTACCTGCCTCGAGCCAAACGTGTATTTCTTTATTAGTTCATTTACATGACACAGGCTGCGCGTTCACTCCTTTGGGTTTGTCAAAGAGCTGACGTGCCAAACATTAGCCTGTGCTAATGTACCACGACCTCCAGCCCTGACATCACCATGATGTGGCAAACAGCTGCTGACACCATCAACTCTACTGCCACAACAGATACTGAAGATACCGACTTAGGTTATTGTTGGACACACTTTCTATCATTTATTACAATATTAGTAAACAGACCGTAGATTGGCATTTATTTACCGATTAATCAGATCTTTTCTCAATAAATTGATTTGTTATTTTCTATAAAATGTCAGATAATAGTAAAAAAAAAATGCATGTTATAATTTCCCAACAGACAAAGACATTCAGTTTATTATATATAACAAATCCTCACATTAGAGCAGCTGCAACCAGAGAATGTTTTGCATCTTTCATTTATCACTGATCAAAAAAAGCCAATAAATATCTTGCATTAATCGACTGATCGATCACATTTCAGCTGTCCCAACACCTCACATGTCCCAACACCTCACATGTCCTAGGGACTCACATGT